GGACGAGAGATCGTCGCCCGCCCCCCGAGAGAAGGGCAGGAGCCTGGTTGAGGAAATTGAAGGGGTTTTGGGTTTGGTTTTTTTTTTTTTTCCGAGTCGTGGCACCTCGTTTTGGGTTCGGATGTTGCCAAATGGGGGATTTGGGGCGAGCGCTCGGGTCGGGTCCCCAGGGAGGTGTCCCGTTTAAAGAGGGGCGCGCTGCCCTTCGGCCGCGGGTTTGCTCCTCTCTGCTGCATCACGGTGAGGATTTTTGCGGTTTTGGGTTTGGTTTTTTTTTTTTTTCCGAGTCGTGGCACCTCGTTTTGGGTTCGGATGTTGCCAAATGGGGGATTTGGGGCGAGCGCTCGGGTCGGGTCCCCAGGGAGGTGTCCCGTTTAAAGAGGGGCGCGCTGCCCTTCGGCCGCGGGTTTGCTCCTCTCTGCTGCATCACGGTGAGGATTTTTGCGGAGGAATCATGGCGTCGGCGGGGGGTGGGCGGTGACGGGTGCCGTCAGCTGCCCCTGTTGCTGGTTTGGGCTCAGATAGCCTTGTTTTGGGTGCGGGCGCTGCGTCTCTTACCGTGTCCGTGGATGCAACGCTGCCTGCCTGCTCCCTTGCCTCGTCCTCCGCCTTCTCCTCGTCCTCCTTCTCCTCGTCCTCCTTCTCCTCGTCCTCCTTCTCCTCGTCCTCCTTCTCCTCGTCCTCCTCCGGCTCCTGGAGGAAAAGCAGGAAAACCCTAAAATTTAGGCGGTGTGGGACAAGGGCAGCGGGGCCAGGGTGGGTGCGGGGTCCCAGCCCTTCGCCCCCGGCACCCCGAATTCTCCGGAGGGGAGCGGAGGGGTGGGCGGGGAGGGCAGCCTACCTGGAAAGGGGGCTGGGTGAGAAGCTGGTCCTCCGGCCGGGCTCCCCACGCTGCCGGGTCAGCGGGGCTGGCTGGGGAAGGAGGAGGCTTGACGCCACGTGGGACGGGCACGCGGGGCAGGCCTGACACCCCCGGGGATGGGCGCGCGGGGCAGGGCCGATGGCCCGAGGGTTGGGTAAGACGCAAAGTCCCCCTAGGACGGGCAGAAAGGGCAGGTGCCCTGTGAGCGATGGGCAGACGGGGCAGGCATGACGCCACGGGGCTATGGACACATGGGGCAGGCCTGATGCCCTGGATGATGGGCATACGGGGCAGGCCAGATGTCCTGGGTGATGGGCATACAGGGCAGGCCTGACGCCCTGGGTGATGGGCACACGTGGCAGACGTGATGCCACGCAGGATGGGCAGGCAATGCAGCGCGGGGCAGGGGATGGAGGTGCAGGGATGGGTGCTGCCGGGCCGGGCCACTCACTCTTTCTCTGCTCCAGCAGCGTTTGGAAGTGCTGAGCAGCAAAGGCCACCACGTCTGTGGGCTGCGCGCGCCG